TTGCCAAGCTTCCCGAGCCTGGACTTAGGCTGGAAACCAGAAATGTTGGCCAACCCTGGAACAGAAAGCCCACAACCCAATTCCAGGTTAGGAACTTGCCAGGTAAACTTAGCAGAGGGCCAAGGGCAAGTGCAATGAGTTCCCTAAAGAAGGAGTAGTTGAAGTTATTGTCCACTTTGCACTGTGTTCATGTGTGTATAGGGATGAGGAGGGGTTGGAGCCAGGAAGGAGTTCAAGAGCATAGAGGCTACAGGGGAGCTGACATTTTAGAGGTAGAAAAATTCCCGGTGACAAGGTTCAAGTGGTGGGTGTTTGAGATGTGAAAGGGAAGTGAGGGTGAAGTTCTTTGTGAAGACAGGGTCATTGGACCTCTGCCAGGGTGTTGGCTGTCATCAGAGAGGCTAGGATGATGGTAGGGGACCAGAACCCACTGTGGGTGCACTCCATGTGAGGTGACCATTGGTTTTCATCAGTTCAGGTGGATGGTCAAGGGGAATGTGGAATGGTGTCCTGATGGCTAATAATATTGGGGCTAAGGATTGGGTAACGCATGGCATGGCCAGTGCTTCAAAGGAGGGTGGATTGTCCCCTTGGAGTTTTGTTAGCCCTGGAAGAGAGGGGGCTGGGTAGGAGGGGGAAGGGACAGAACTAAGTTAAAATAAAAGGCATGTTCAAAATCATTCAGACCTTGTTGAGAGGGGCTGGCCTAGTTGGGTCTGAGTGTCCTCGGAGATTCCGCCATTCTCTAACAGGGGGCAGCTTCCTTTGTTGCCGTGTGTTCACTAACACAAAAACAGGCCCAAGATTTTCCTACTACAAGGACCCAGTTTATTCTGGGGCCCCAGGAAGTTCAAAATAATGAGAGAAGGGATCCTGGCACCAATAACAAATTCCTACAGTGCTTCTTCAGTACATGGCAAACACTGACTGCCTTGTGCTGCGTTGTTTGCTTTGTTTGTTTGAGACAGGGTCTCGCTCTGTCACCAGACTTGGGTTCAGTGGTGCAATCACGGCTCACTGCAGCCTCCAACTCCTGGGCTCACGTCCTCCCACCTCAGCCTCCTGAGTAGCTAGGACCGCAGATGTGTGGCCAGCTAATTTTTAATTTTTTTGTGGAGATGGGATCTCACTGTCTTGCCCAGGCTGGTCTCAAACTCCCAGACTCAAGCAATCCTCCTGCCTTGGCCTCCCAAAGTGCTGGGATTACATGTGTGAGCCACTTTGCCTGGCCACTATTACTTCCTAATGCAGAACCAAGGCACGTGCTCCTCTGTGCTCTTTCAGCACCATGTACAAACCTCTATCACAGGATTTGTAATGATTCTGTTTTAATTGTCCTCTCTTCAGGCTTGAGACGTTCTTGAGGGCAGAGACTATAACTTATTCATCTCTCTACCCTCAGCACCTGGCATCATGCCTCACATATAATAGTTAATAAATACTTGCTGAATGAACAGCTGTGACCTTCAGGATCATAAATGGAATGCCCCACTCCATTTTACAGAAGAGAAAGCTAAAGCTCAGGGATGGCAAAACATTTGGCCAAGGTCACACAGCTGCTCAGCCTCTGGACTCCTAGCCTAGTCCTTGTTAGACAAGGAGGTTCAAGTGGTGGGTATTTGATTGGGATGCACACAACTTTCCACGTCCTCTTTCTCTTGTTAGACTGTGAGCTTGGAGAGGAAGACATTATTGACCTCTCCAACCCTGAGTGCCTTGACGTTCCTTACTCAGCTCGGCCCCTATCACGAACTTGGTTGAAGACAGAGAAAGTCTGCTTGTTAAATTTGCAGAGAGCAGGAAGCTGGGCTCCAAATATTGGCCAGACGTGGTGGCTCATGCCTGTAATCCCAACACTTTTGGAGGCTGAGGCAGCAGGCTCGCCTGAGCTCAGGAGTTCAAGACCAGCCTGGGCAACATAGTGAGAAAAAAAGCCACTTTTTTTTTCTCTTAAAAAAATGCTGGGAAGGATAGATTAACTTGTAGGTTAGCACTAGATGATGGGCAGAATTTAAAAAGATCTAGACAATGTGGAAAGGAAGTGTAAGAATAGGAAGATGAGCTTTAACTTAAACCAAAAAGGTAAGATTTTGTATGTAGGATAATAAGACTTTAGGAGTGGGGAAGACTGATGAACAGGGGTTGCTTGTTGAAAACTCACAGGCTCCATGAAAACTGAGTCAGTGAAATAATTTGGCTGTCAGTCGGGAAAGTTGTTAACCATGTCTGGAACCCAGACCCACACTAATTTTGGTGCTAATTTAGTTGTAGGTTGCTATGGTCTCACCTCTGCAGGGGCCACATTTTCAAAAGGAAATTGGTAAGATGGAGTGGGTAACTAGTGGCACCATATCCACTGTCATAGGGGAAATGGCCTGGAAAGGAAGTCCAGAGTCCCCAGAGTGCTAGGTAAGGTCCCAAGGCCCTAGCCCCTGCCTCGTCATCCTCTCTATTTCGTACTCCAGTGACATGCACACGCCTGTTTCATACCCCCATATCTTTATACATACTGTTCCCTCTATCTGGAATATTCGGTGCCTCCTGCCTCTCACCCATTGCAGTCCACTTGGTGAGCATCTATGTAATTTACAAAATCCTTCTCAAGCTTTACCTTCTTCCTTGTGGTTGGACATAGATGCTCAGTGCTGCAAAGAAAAATTAGCACTGAGACAAAGGACCTTTCAGCAATGCAGTTTTTACTTCCTGGACTGCAGGAAAGGTACTCTTGCTAGCCAGCTTGCCTAAGAGCACAACGAACAAAGGAAAACGGACAAATTTATCCCTTACACATTTGGGGTTGTCCTTACTGCTGTGTCTGATCTCCGTTGGCTGGACCCAGACTTTACAATCTAAACTAAACCCCGACTGGTTAATAATTTAAAACTTTTCTAGACAGGTAAAAGCATGGATAGCTGGGACATGCCTGAGTACATCCAACACAGATATCTTGTTTAAAGTACAAGGACGTAGAATGTACTACATGCCTGTAAGCATGGCATGTCTAATAGCTACATAGGATAGGGTGTAACAAAGTTATTAGCACACTTATTCTTTAGCAAGAAAGGAAACTTTAAAAAGGAACTTTTCTACTTCCCACACTTGTAAAACTGTCCTAATCCAGGTAGAACTAACAACTCTTTTCTCTAAACATTGGTGCTCCCCTATACATAGTTTTAGAATTGTATGTTTTCCCCTGCATGGTATGTTGCCTGTCCCACCTATTAGACTGTGAGCTTTTTACAGGCAGAGATCCTGCGACCCTGCCTCTAGCACCCATGCCCTAACCTGAAACACGGGTCTTCTCATGCTTTCCCACCCACGCCTTTTTTTCTCTGCTGCTTGAACCAGCATACACGACTTACACAAATGAACCAAAACTTCAAGTGAGTTTTCAAATATTTGAAGGACTACCCTGTAGATGACTGAAGATTCTGTGCACCTCCAGAGAGCCAAGAGCAAGAATGGGGACATGTGATGAGGAGATGAATTGGGGACCACTAGGAGAGAATACTTTAATATTGGTCAGGATGCTTCTCCCAACAGAAGCCTACACTGGAAATAGCGTGAGCAAAGGGAGAACTTCTTTGGTACACAGTTTCCAAGGAAAATTTGAACTGCCAACCTGCAGGAAGGCCAGGGACAAAGCCGGACCGCAGGAACACCTGAACAAGGGCACCTGAAAGCCAGCAGGACCCTGTGCCCTTCATCTCTGCTTCTGTCTGTGCAGACTTCCTTATTCGCCACTGTAAACTGGCTTACTCCACACAGCAGGAAACAGGGGGCTGCTGACAGCTGGGGCCTCACAGCTCAGTTTTCCACCAAAGAGGGTCTGGTTTTCTTTTCCAATTCCAGTTAAAAATGTTTTAGAGAACATTATTGGCACAACCAGGGTCTATAGTCAGGGAGATGGGGTACCATGAATAGCCTGGCTTGAGTTTCATGCCAGTCAACTGAAGCCAGGACTGGGATCATCTGGGGACAAGGTAGTTGCCATTGGAACCATACAGAGGAGGGGAAAGTCGTTTCCAAAAGGAGTGGGGTGGGTGCAGCTTGGAAAGCAGAGGGGTTGGACTCCTTTGCTCCCACGTCCAACAATTACAGCCAGCGAGCTTCAGGTACTTTCTGGATGCTTTCAGGAAAATAGGAGAAGGAAGGATGGATAAAAGTCTGCGGGCATTTCCAATATTTAGACCAGGTTTCGGCCGTGCTTGGCACTAGTTCTCGGAAACTGTTGCATGATGATTTTTCTGGGCATCAGGACTCAGCCCATTTCCCCCTCTGGTGCTGAGAAACGGAGGCTGAAGGAGTGAAGAAGGAGGTTCAGTTATTCTAGAAGTGTTAAATGACCCCCTAATCTATGAAAGCCACTGGGGGTGAGGGGGCAGACAGGAGAGAGAGACCCCAGGGGTTCCCGCCTCCCAGGGCCTCTAATGGAGGTGGCCGGGCTCGTCTGCGTGCTGGACCAACAGCCACCGGCGAGGCGCGGCGAGGGTCAGTCGGGGCTGGTGCCGGGAAGAGGGCCGGTTCTGCGGCTCCTCGGCCTCCCGCCATCTGGCCCGAGCTGACCGGCGGTTGACCTGGCTCCCTGGCCCCGGCCAGGCCTCGCGGACCCTTCGTTTGCAACACGGGACAGGAGCAGCGGAGGCGGCCGGCGGGGAGCCGGGTCCTGGGAGCGCCAGGCGGGGGCCTGTCCCGGTCTCCGAGTGCAGGGCCCCCCGCGCCTTCCTCCCGAGACCTCCGGGCCTCGCCCGACGGGGCGCCGCCGCCGACACCAGGCCCGCCGAGGCGGCGGACGCGGACCGGCCCCGGGGGCGGGCACTTGGGGCCCGGCGCCCCCCGGCGTCCCGGGGCCGCGCTGCCCGGGCCGGGGGAGGGACAGCAGCAGGTGACGACGGCCACCGGCTATAAATAGGGGCGCGCGTCAGCCGCGGGCGGGAGCGGCGGCGGCGGGCAGGGGCCGGGAGGGAGGGCGAGGCGGCGGCGGGTGCGGGCCGGTGGTCGGGGAGGGCGGCGTCATGGGGTCGCGGAGGGCCCCCAGCCGAGGCTGGGGCGCGGGCGGGCGGTCGGGGTCCGCGGGCGACGGCGAGGACGACGGCCCGGTGTGGATCCCCAGCCCGGCCAGCCGCAGCTACCTGCTCAGCGTGCGACCCGAGACCAGGTGAGTGGACCGAGGGGCAGGGTGGTCCCGCGCCCCCGGAAGGGCGGCCTGGCCCCTGGAGGCGTGGGCTGGGCCTGCGCCCTCGAGCTCTCTCGGCCCCAAGGCCCAGGGCCTGGGGACGTGGCTGGGCTGGAGTGGCCTTCAGGGCCCCTTGAGACCCCTCATGATCCACAGGCCTCAGGCCTCTGGCAATGCCAGTCTCAAGAGAGGACAAAGGCTCCACTTGGGGAGATCTCACTGGGGCCTGAGGGCTTTCCTTACCTCCCCGCCCCTACCCGGCTGCTCCCTGGTTTGGGATTCCACAGCTAGCGATAAGGAAAGCCAGAGTGGCTGAAATTCCTCCCTGGCATAAAGGGAGGGGGAGAGCACTGGTGGGGACAGGGAAGGGGTGCTGGGGGGCTGCCCAGAGTAGGGGCTGCTTAGCTCAGGGTGGGGAGGGTCCCCAGGAAGAAACAAACCTTTGTAAATAAGGTTCCTCCTCCGGGCCCAGGACTTGGGTCTTCGCCGGACTTGAGTGGGGGCTGGTGAGATGTGGGGTGGGGAGAGGTACTGTCTGGGGACGCTGGGAATTCAGGACTTGGAGCTCTAAGGGAGCCACGTGCCCTGTCCAGTGTGGGGAATTGAAATGCCAAGGGAGGTGTGGAACTGATGAACCCTTCGCTGGTCTTCCAAGAGTTAAAGAGGTGTGGAAGCTATGTTTTAGGAGCCAGGCCACCCACAGATAGAAAGACACAAAGACAACAGACACACATACAGGCAATCAAAGGCACACAGACACACATGGACACATGCATTGCCATGGAGACAGGCACTTCCTGCTCCCTGCGGGCAGCTCAATTTCCCTCCATTTCTGGAGTCTATTTTCCAAGGGGACTTGTGTTGAGATAGTGGTTTTTCATAGCCTGAGAACTTGGCGTGTGTATTATGCAGAAAATAGCCATTCCTCCAAGAGGCTGTCCAGAGACCTCTTGTTCTCCATTCCTAAAGCAGCATAAAAACAGGCATCAAGGACATTCAGGAAAAGTCCTGGGCACTTCCTCGTGAATTGGCTGAGTCCTGTTGACCTTGGAGTTGGGAAAGTTCAAATGTAACTGGAACCGGTTTCTGCATAAAACTCGTCAAATGGTGTCACATGTCTGTGGCAGAGCTGAGGACTGATGTTAGTGACTGAGTCAGACTCAACAAGGCCCCAGGCTGCCAGGAAAGAATACCCCTTTTTCCTACTCCTGGCTCTACAGATAAACCGGGATGAAATTTGGACATTTATTCCAGTCCCTAGAGAGGCTGACTCCCTGTGGGAGCCTCACACTTGTCACAGTGACTTCTCTAGGCTTTGCCTCCTGTGTTTGGCCTTTGTCAATACCAGTGGAGCAAACAGAAGAGGCAGAAGTGGGGTCCTTCTTGGAGACAGCAGCAATGGAGGAAGGGAGGAAAGAGTACCTTGAAAACCTGTCAGAATGGGGAGGGCAGGGGACCTGGGCTCTTAGGAAAAGGGCTGGAGAATGGAACAGTGCTGCTACCTGGCTGAGCAGTTGTATGGTAGATAAATGTTAGTTGTACACCTCACGGCCGTAAAGCTTGTGCCAGCCTGAGAGCTGGAGGTGGGATAGAGGTGGCTGGCTTAAGTCCCTTTGGACCTAAATGGGAATGTTCTTAAAAGGAGTTTCTTTCATCAGGTACCTGGAGGGGCAGGACAGGAGGAGTGGGAGAGAGCTTTGGACTTTGGGCTGTGTTTTGCCCCTGCAGAGTTTTTTACTGCTCCTGCCAGCTAGCCACAGACCCCTAGAGGTTCTGAGAGACAAGGACAGCCAGATTTATCTGGTCTCTGGAAAAGCCTTTGGCCAAAATGGGGAGAATGTGACTGGGGCTGCAGTGGGGAGTGGAGAGGGCGAGGCAATTCCCACTTCTCTAGCAAGGGCTGACCTGTGTTGGAGGGAGACCTGACACTGCTGGCTGTCCCTCAGAACAGCCTCACTGCTTGTGTGGGTGGGGAGGGCTCTCTAGAGACAGGGAGAAGCACAGTCCCTTGAGAATTTTGCCAGCTATATTGGTTCCAGCCCAGCTGAGCCCTGACTATGCCAGAGTCCTGACCGAATGGCAAGCTCTATCCCCACTCACTCTTGGCTCCAACATCTTCTGGGTTTACCTTCACACGGGTCTGTTGTGGAGCTCTTCAGGCATCATTCTCATGGGCCCCTGTGAGGAGGGGCTGCCCGGGGAGCTGATGGACCGCTGAGCTGGTGGACACCACAGGCCTTGGTGGAGGGCCCAGAGCCTATCTCTTTATGCACCTCTCTCTACCCCACAGCTCTGAAAGGGTTTCCAATCCATGTCTGTGCAAGAATATTTCCAGTGCCCACTGGGGTCAGAGGCCCAACATGCTGATAGTCCCACCAAACTGTAGGCCCAGCCCTTCGTCACCGGCACCTGGGACCTTATCCCTATGGGACAGCGAGATGTGGGTAGGCTAGCGAAGTTAAGGGGCTACAACTGGGTAGAGGAGGTTATGATTCATTAGCTTCTACGGACACTCAGAAGTTCCAGAAGCCCCTGCCCCTGAATTCTTGGTCCAGGTGGGCTCAGAAGTCACAGAATCTATGATGTTACTACATCCAGCTTTGAAACAAACGCTGCCGTTCAGCGTGGGTCAGCCAGGCTGTATAGGGCTTTTAGGGAATCTGAGGTGTCTGGCCAGGATTGTCCTAGGACCTTTTATGTCCCAGAATAGATGAAAGTCAGGAGGAATGGAGGCCCCCAGCTTCCGTGGTCAGTTCTGGTTTTCTCTAGCCTACTTCGCTCTTTTATGTATTTATTTTTTAAGTTTAGTTTTTTTGTTTTTTTTTTTTTTGAGATGGAGCCTCGCTCTGTCACCCAGGCTGGAGTACAGTGGTGTGATCTCTGCTCACTGCTGCAACCTCCGCCTCCTGGATTTAAGCAATTCTCCTGCCTCAGTCTCCCAGGTAGCCTCCCGAGTACTCTGGGATTACAGACGCCTGCCACGGTGCCCAGCTAATTTTTGTGTTCTTAGTAGAGACGGGATTTCACCCTGTTGGTCAGGCTGGTCTTGAACTTCTGACCTCAGGTGACCTGCCCGCCTTGGCCTCCCAAAGTGTGGGATTACAGGCATGAGCCGGCCAAGTTTAGTTTTTAATTATTTATTTTTTATAAAGATGGGGTCTTGCTGTATCACTGAGGTCAACCTTGAACTCCTGGACTCAAGCGATGGATCCTCTTCCCTCAGCCCCTCAAAGTGCTGGGGTTTCAGGCATGAGCCACTGCGCTCAGTCCCAACCTCACTCCTTTACGAGGAGACCTTTTTTTCCCGGGCCCTGAATTCCAACCCTCCCCCAACCTTTTTTTTTTTTTTTTTTTCCCTATTCTGCTTATGTATTCATTCCCATTTTGAGAGATGAAGGGTGGCATGAAGAACTCTTTAAAGCCTTTCTGCCTCAACATTTGATGCTTCTCATTCGGCACCCCCTCAGAGGCAGTAAATGGGGAGCTTCCCCGCTGGCGTGACAGCCCTGAGCCTAGCTGTGGCCCAGTCAGCAGGGCACAGGCAGGTCTCCCCCCTTCTGGAGACCAGGCGCCTCCACTGGCCCAGGGTTCCTCCTGACCTGACTCACGATGTAAGGGCGAGGCCTAGAGAGAGCAGGAGGTTGGTCCAGGAGCAGCAGAGCTCGGGGAGGGGTCCTCTGTCCCAGCTCACTTCTGGGCTCTCGCAGGTGGAACTTGCCATTTTCCTCTCTAAATTAGAAAGCTAACTCTCCCCCTCTCCTTCCCAGGGAAGAAGTCCAGACCCAAAGAAGAAGAAATCTCCCAATCCTAAAGGAGAGGGACAAAGGAAATTTATGGTCAGGAAAGGATGGAGTGGGCCCGTGTCTTGGCACCATGGGAGGCTCTGCCCACGCAGCCTCCAGAGGATTCTGAGAGCTCTGGGCAGAGGCAGCTGCACTCTAGCATGCGCCTTTCCATCTTTTCTGGAGCAGCAGCTCCCTCTGGGGGGCAGGACCCTTCCTGCTTGAAAAATGCCTTTCCCTCCCCGCCCTCTCTCCCTCCCCCGGCCCCCGCCATGCCACTTTCCTTTTTTCTTTTTCTTTTTCTTCCTCTCTCTCTCTTTTTTTCTCTCTCTCCCTTCTGTAGAACAGCGGTTAAATACCCATTGTCTGTGCAGCACTGTGCTAAGAGCCACAGAATCTACGAGAACTAGGTTTGAAGGCTGGATGGGCAGGATTTAGTTGAGCGGGAGGAGGGAGGGAGGGCCTTCCAAACAGGGAGGACAAAAGGGAAGCCTCAGGGGCCGGGAAGGACTTGTTCATGCCAATAAGGGACAGGCCTGGCTGCGGGGGCACCTGAGCATTGGGAAGTAGAGGGACTGCGGAGTGTGAGTAGATCAGGGAGGGCCCTACCCGCCCAGTCAAGGATTGGAGACTCGTGTCCTCTACACTGGAGGACTGCAGCATTTTGCTGGAGAAGTGCGTTATATGAGGGGTTAAGGAGAAGGGGTTGAGGTGGTCAGCAAATGTGGAGCCATGAGGGTCTAGATTGTAGTGTAACAAGATTAGGGAGAAAGGGGGAAGAAGAGCCAAGAATTGTGGAGGGACTGGATTTGGGGATGGAGGAGAAGTAGTACAAGATGGCAGGTTCTGAGCTTCGGAGATTGGGAGAACGCTGGGGGTATCTACAAACCCAGGAGCCTGGCGTTAGGGGTGAAGCCAGGTTTTAGGGAAAAGGATGGGTTTGGTTTTGTGGTTATGAAGAGATGGGATCCTCAGAGCTTTCTTGTGGTTAGAGGTGTGGACCGTGAGCGCCATTGGACAGGCTGGGCCACTGATAAGGAAGGGAGAACTCTTCTCATGGTAGGGACAGCTGCAGGGAGTGAGTGTGGATGGGGTGACCCCTGACATCTCTCAAGGATCTGGGATCCAGGCCCCTGGGGAGATTTTTGTGTCAGGAAAGGAGGAGGGAGAGGGAGCAGTTGGTTCATAGCAAGTGGGCTGGAGCTCCACTAAGGGGCGGTCCTGTGTGGGTCCTCATCCCAGTGCCCCACGCAGTGGCCCTTCCTAGCTGCCCCAGACAGGAGGGATCTGGGCCTCAGGCAGAATGCGCCTGTGTGGACCGTGGAGCTGGATGCCTCCCAGCTCCTGCTGAATTAACTGCTTTGTTTTTTTCTTTTTCGCTCTCCCAGCTGGTTTGCCTTGCGTGGCCCCTTCAACCGTACTTTAACATATTAATGATGGGTGTTCTCCAAGCCACCTGTCTCTCTCTCCTAGCCTATCAGGGGATTTCCAGGAATGGGGCTCTTTTCTCCCAAAGGCCAAGAATTGAAGCAGGAGCTGCCCTCCAGCTGGCGTGCTGTGGGGTGGGGAAACATGCCACGCAGCTGTAAGCCTCCCTCCTGGGGGCAGTGACCCAAGTGCGTGGGACACGCCTTCCTCAAGCACAGCCCCAAGGGGCCTCCTTCCTGCCTAACCATTTTCCTGGTCTCTGCTGCATTTAATGAGTTCTTGGTTGCAGATACATTGGTGTCCGGTGGTCAGGCCACTTGCTAGATGGAGCAGGCCAACTAAGACAGCTGGTCCCTTTTAATAGAAAGGCTTCTGGCCCCAGATGGCGGCCAATTAATAGTTTGCGACTGTTGATTTCGCCTACCTCCTTCTTGCTTTTCTGGCCTAATGATTCCATTTGCTGTTTTTGCTTAGCTTATCAAGCAGCCGGTTGCCTCACCCCAGCGCTGGAAGGTAAATGCATATTGCACCACAGTTCTCTGACTGCTTTTTTCTTGGGTCCGGGCATTGAGGGGCCACTGAGTGACTGCTTGTGCACTAACCAGGCTGCATGGGGTGAGGGAGAGCTGGAGGGCAGGTGGGGCGTGCGTAAGAAGGCACTCAGGTGAACATGGCTCTCACAGGGGCCAGAGTTGATGCTTGCATGGGCCACTGGAGATGGGCACAGGATCTCAGGGATAGAAATATGGGCAGGGGTCCCTGAGATGCCTGCAGTGATGTCTCTGTGCCCCTAGGAAACACCACGGGAACAGAACAGGGAGCCACCCATCCTGTCATATGGCCCACCTCTTCCCCACCCTAGGTTTTTTATTTCTTAGAGACAGGGTCTTGCTCTGTCATGTTGCCCAGGCTGGAGTGCAATGGCTCCCTGCAGCCTCGAACTCCTGGGCTCAAGGGATCCTCCTGCCTCAGCCTTCTGAGTAGTGGGGACTACAGGCATGCACCATGATGCCTGGCTAGGGTCTCACTGTGTTCCCTGGTCTTGAATTCCTGGCTTCAAGGAATTCTCCTGCCTCAGCTTCCTAAAGTGCTGGGATTACAGGCGTAAGCCACTGTGTCTGGTCCCAATTCTAGGTTTCCATGTTTTTTGTGACCGCACATCTAGGTGTGATGCCGTGATGCCTATCTTCTAACCATGACAACTGCCTTTTAAATTTTTTCCTGCAGTCATTTAAGTTCTCCTTTTACCTCCTGTGTCTCTGAATTTCCCTTTCTTTTGGTTCCTCCCCATCCCTGAAGACCATGAACTCTGTCAAGTCAGAGAATGCCACGTTAGTATATTCCTGTGTAGCTTATTCTCTGAATCTGCTGCAGAGCCAGGGAAAGGCCTGAGCAGGCTCGCGGTCTGGGTTTGCTGGTTGAATGACTGTCTTCTTGCCTCCTGAGCTGAGGAGAGCTCGTTACCCTTGGCTGAACTGACTGTTACAATCCAAACGGGAACGTTTCCTGGCTACTTTCCACCACTTGGGCATCATCCCAGACTCCGATAGATTTGGGAGAGTTAAGTACAGTTTCTTTACACAGAGAAAGATTTCTGAATAGCTAACTGGTTTCTGAATGACCAGTGTTTACAGATGTGATTAGCACCTCCTGTGTCCGTGGTCCTCGATGGGGATGAACACTCAGGAGACTTTGTTCTGTGTGGCTCATGGGTGGAACTGAGGATATCACAACTAATTCCAAGTGGAGTGTGGTAAACGTTGAAAGGAGAGGACCTGGGCAAACAAACCTAACCTAAGGACAAGGTTAGGTTCCACTGAACATCATGAAACCAATCACTCTGGTGTTCTGTAGAGGTGCATGATTAGTCTGTGATATCCTTATGAAGTCATGGAGTTGGAAGGACTTGTCAGGATTGGACAAGGCCATTTCCAGATGTGTGGACTTCCTGGCTTTCCAGAGGATTGGGTGCAGCACACGCAGAGTCATCCTGCATTCCAGTGGTTGGGAGGATGGGGACAGAAAGCTTGTGGCAACGAGAAGCTGTGTGACATTCAGCAGAACACGAGAGTATGTACAGTGACTCTCCCCGTGCCTCCAAATGTACCCCAAACCCACTTCCCTAAAGAGAGGGCTTTCATCTAGCCACAGCTGTCAGCAGTTACTTGTTTTCTAATATAAACATTTTTTTCTAATATAGCTTAGGACCTAATGTGGAAAGTTTGAGAAGTTATGTTCTTTTCCATTCAAAGAGAGTAATGAAATAAAATAACCACCCGTTGTTCAATATCTAGCATGAGCATTTGTCTCTGCAAATTTTCTTAAAGCATAGTTTCCCTGTTTTCTCACTTATCCGGTAGCCGAAATGATTTCCTTAGGCTTGTCCGAGTGGCTTCATACCAGGGGCCTAAGCTGAATACCGGATCCGGGCAGCTCAAGGTCATGGATGAGATAGGATTCAAATTATGCAGGGAGGACATAATTAGGGATGGTTTGAATTAATTACAGAATCCTAGAAGTAGGATTATGTTTAGCCTGGTGGTTTCTAGAAACTGTTGGTTGAGATTTCATGCTTCCCCAAATCAGAAACTGCCGTTAGTATGATAGCAGCAAGAAACATTTTCAGATATAACGTTTCCTGAGTGTTCAGGGAACTGATAGTGCAGGCCCTGAAGGACCCTCTGTTTCTGAGTGGCTTAGGAAAAGAAGCTTATTGCACAGATGAGGGTCAGGCGAGGGAACGTTGTAGGGAGTGTTATAGAATGTGTCTAACTGCAGATCCAGCTCAAATGTTAAGGAACGTGAGAGACTGGGATCCCCTTTTGGGGTGATCTTTGTTGGGGAGGGCCCTTGTCAACTCCATGAATGCCCAGGTGTCTGCATTCCTGTGGTGAAGCCATGGCGGGACCCCTGTTAGTCCAGACTTGATTCCAGATACTCTCTGCGGTCCTCAAACTCAAGTCTAGAAAAATGTTCACAGAAAAGATAAATCGAATGTGGAACTCCTCCCCACAAAGTGTGTAGGTTTCTAGATCCTGTTTGCTTCTGCTTCCGCAGACTCTCCTGGCCCCTGGCAGAGAGGCCATGGACAGACAAACATTGCCCTTGTGTGACCATCCCTTCCTCCGAGGCACAGGGAAAGGCACCTTTGAATGATGTGTCTTTCTCAACACAGTCTTCACTTTGCCCCTCACAGTCCTCTCTGCTGCTCACAAGGGGGTGTGTGCCTGGGGAGGGAGAGGAGGGCTGGGCACGGCTTGTGCACCACACAACCTGGCTTTGTGGTTGCGCTTCACACCTGAGAACGCACTGTGTCTCTGCTGGCCCTTGAGAGGGTTTGGCATGGTGGTTCATTTCCTGGGCCCAGGAAGGAGAAGACTGTAAGCCCTGAGCGTGGTTGGTGAGTTTGGTCTGGACTCAGCGCTTATGGATGCTCCTGGAACCTGGGAGGTGGACCGGGACTGGAGAAGGGAACGGAGCTCTGGCATTGGCAGGGGTGGGTCTGTTTGTGGTTTGGCACTCCTGCTGGCTGGTGCTGGAGCAGCCAGCCGTGCTTCCCTTCAGCACGTGTATCCCGGGATGAAGCAGGGGAGCCACAGCTGGCTTTCCAAGGCTGCTTCCCAGCCCCATTTCGGCTGGGTCTCTCCTTTCCAATACCCTTCTGAATGAGAGTCCCCCTTTGGGTCTGGACCCCTGACCTTGGCCAGCTTATTCTTTGTCCATTGTGGGTCCGCACTCACAAATGTAGGAGCTTTTCTTCTGAGCCCAAGCTCTAGGAGAGACTCCTGTGCTCTTAGGACCTGGAATCACGGAGGGTTGGCTGGCCTTCCCCTCTTGGCACGAATGGAGGCTCTGCTATGCTGGGGGCTCCATCTCTGAGGCTTGATGTACTTATGTGTATGTCTCCCCATGCACCAATGTCCCTGGAGATGAAAGGTGGAGGGTGAAGTAAGGTCCCCCCAAACAGCGAGGGGATGGGACGCTTGGGCTAGTAGGCTGGCATGCTCAGGAGCCTGGCCCATCGTCAGTGGCTTGCCTATTGTAATGGGTCTGGGCCAGAATTCCATTCAACCCCTTGATACCTGGCCCCAGCCTGGCCAAGAGGCACAGGCTGCCTTGAAGAAAGACTTGCCTGGGCACTGGAGCTCTGGCCACAGGAAGATGGACAGACATGGTAAGATGGAAGCTGCCTTGGGCAAGGCCAGGCTGTGCTGTATGTTGTGGGGAAGGGCACCTCTGAATAGCTCTTTGCCTTTCCTAGGAGCACCTTCTGCTCCATCATTGCTCAGCTCACAGAGGAGACCCAGCCGCTGTTCGAGACCACACTCAAGTCCCGGGCTGTGTCCGAGGACAGTGACGTCAGGTTCACCTGCATTGTCACAGGTAAGAAGGCTGCCTGTATGCGCCACGCCAGGGCCTCTACACAGAGCAGGGTCCAAGGGGGCCGTGAGGATGGGCATGGTGGCGTGGCGGGCTGTGCGCATAAAACGGTGTGAGGTGACATTTGCTTTCTGAGCTTTCTCTCCAGTTTAACCTCCCTGTGAGGGCTGGTGTCCCTGGCTCCTCCCATTCTGGAGCCTCATGTATACCCTACTCTTCTTCAGAACCTATCCTCAGTGAAGGTTCCTGACCCTCATACATAATGACTAATGGATATTCGTTGCAAGAAAAAAATACTCCAATGGAAAGAGATCTTTGAGGCCATCTCCCTGAGTGTCCCCATGTTATAGTTGAATAATTTGAGGCTTGGGAGTTTCAAGCCTGAGTGGGGAATTGCATGTGGTGATTCTGACTGCAGACCCCGGAGGCAGAGTGCCTGGCTTGCGGTCCTGGCTCATCCCCTTTCCAATGATGTCACTGAGCAGGTTCCATAACCTTTCATCTGCCTCATCTGTAAAGTGGGGATGATGATGGGATGCACTTCGTAGGGTTATTTGATATTGAATGAAGTAATACATGCAAAGCATTTGTAGTAGTACCTGACAGACAGTAAGTGCCATGTAAGTGTTAGAAACTCGTGACTGCTATTTGCATTTCACTGAGCTCTGTGGTGGAATTTGAAGCAACCATTTGGTAGAAGGGGAAGCAGAGTGATACTCCTTGGAAGGGGAGGATAGTGGGTGGGAGCGCTGGGAGGGTGGTTCCAGGCATTGCCTCTCACCCAGACCACCCAGTAGAGACTCCAGTCTGACCTGCCTCAGGGCCTGCAGGACCCACAAATGGGTACCCACCCCTCCCAGCTGTGCAGCCATCAGGTCCCAGGTCCAGGCTCCCTCTGGAGAGCCTGTTGTTTCTATAAGTCAAAGGCATTGGTGGTTTCCAGCTGTGACATTCCCTAATTCTGAGGACTTGTTTACCCCAGCCAGAAAACAGCTTCTCACTTGGGCAGTTCTCACCCTTACTCAACCCTCTGAGCTGCAGACTGAGAACACTCTCTGCTCCAAAGGACATAGAGAAGGGCCTGCATCCCTTCCCTTTGTATGGCATGATGAATTTCACAAGTTGCTTGATTCCACTGTCATTGAATTCTTACAAATCCCTGTGAAGTAAGTGCTATTTTCAGTCAAATTTTACCAAGGAGGAAGCTGAAAGAGGCTGATGCATTGCCAAAGTCCGCAGCACTGGTAGGGGAGACACTGTTTCCGCTCTCCGGCATCGGATGCTGCTTGCTGCTTCCCACCTGCATCTCCTGTTTCCTAGAAAAACTCAGTTCTTTCACAGTTTCATGCTTTTGCACATACTATTTTCTCAATTTAGAAAGTCCTTAATCCTTCTTTTTAAAGAAAACTAAATTTTACTTTGTCAAATTAATATATGCACATAATTTAAGACCTCAAGTTACACTAAAAGGCATATTTCAAAATATAGCGGTTCATTCCTCTCAAGTTGTCTTCCCAGAAGCAACTGTTTTCAGCTTGTAGCTGTTTCTTCTGGCATGTATACATTTCCATAATGCTGAGGAATACGTGAAATTCTCCAGGTTTAGATGTTCTCTATTATACCATCATTTTCTCTGTTTCCCTAAACTTACCTTCTTCATATAGTTATGTTGATGGCTGTTATGGAAACTTGGTTCTTGTCTTCTTAGTTTAAAATAATTTAAACAAGACGCACAGCAAAGGAGACAGAACAATTTATTGCAAAGGAAAAAGAATACCGTAAAAGTTAGGTGCAGAATACACAGGACACCCTGAGAGAGAAAATTCAGCGCGGTTTCTCATGAGGATGAGACAGCAAAGACTGGCACCTAGGGAGACTCTCTTTCTGTGAGTCTTACATGATTATTCATGAGGAGGTAGGAAGAGGTGTTACTTACTCGTAAGCATGTTCTGGATGGTCCTCTGGGTGCACATGCACAGTAGCTGTACATACTTGTTCATACATCATGAGTAGCTGGGACCACAGGTGTGTGCCATCACACCCCTGCTAATGAGCCATGCATCTTAACTCTCCACCCAGGGGTGCGTGTTTTACTATTACAATGAGCTGAGGCTGAGTTTGAGGACAGGTAAAATCAAAATGCCCCTGCTGTCTGCATGGGAAATTCCATACTGGAGATAGCTTTGCTTGAATGAACTTTGCAATGCTCATGCTGGGGCTTATTGTGTTGACTGAATGGCCCCGATGGTTACCATACCCTGAGGACATGGTTACTTCCTTGACTACCTATCCTGCTTCAGTTGAATCGTAATTTTTGCTTAAATCAACATTTACTGTTTACCTTATTATGCCTATGCAGTATTTTTCATAACTGAACATTGTAGTTTGCTATGCTTATATTTTTTTCTTTTGCTTTTCCTAATGTCAGCACTCTCCATAGTTTTTCATCTGTTTCTTTTTTTGCTGTCTGGTGCTAATTTTTCTTATACCTCCTAACAGCCTCTTAATACAATATTCTGCAATGTGAATGACGTCAGTAATCTGGCAGTTATTTGGATTGGAGGTATCCCTCTTGGAGCTCTTCTTTATTCTTTTATCTGAACCGCTAGCCTTTTAGGGCCTGATATGCAGCTGTGATGCTGGTCTTCCGTTTGCTTAAAAGCTGGTTTAATTCAGCTTCTTGGATCTCACGTCTTCCTTTCTTGGTTTACTTTTCGGCTTGATTGAATACTGCCCCAGTATTTTCATCAGGCCCTGAAGACAGTGCAGCAGCTGAGGGCCTGGTGATGGCGAGGTCTAGAACTCGCTCTCCTTTGAGTCCCTGTGCTCCAATATGCCTCAGTATCTCTCTGCATCTGGTTCACAATGGCCATCCTTAGATTCCCTTCACGTCTCTTCTGTGATAGGTTTCCTGCTTTTTGTGTTCATTCTTTTTCTTTATTTACATTCTTGTTTTGGTAGCTTTCTAGAAAGAGTACATGTGAAGTAGACGTTGGATTCCTTGCGTCTGAAAATGTTTTCTGTTTTGTTTGAGGCAGGGTTTCCCCTGTCGTCCAGGCTGGACGACACAGATCACTGCAGCCTTGACCTCCCAGGCTCAAGTGATCCTCTTACCTCGGGCTCCCAGGTAGCTGGGACCACAGGTGTGTTTCGTCACACCCAGCTTAGGGGGTGTGTGTGTGTGTGTACGTGGTAGAGACTAAGTCCCACAATGTTGCCAGGCTGGTCTCAAACTACTGGGCTCAAGCAATCCTCCCACCTTGGCCTCCCAAAGTACTGGGATTATAGTAGGCATGAGCCGCTATGCCTGGCCTCTTTTTTCTACTTTGCTTTTTCTCAGGAATTTGGCTGGGTATAAAATTGTAAGATGAAAATAATTTTCCTTCAGAATTTAAGACATTGTTCCATTATCTTTTTGCTTCCAATGTTGCTTTTCAGAGTGAGAAGACGGCTTGATCCTAACTCCTTGCATGTGACCAGTTTTTCTCTCTGGAAGCTTGTAAGAGTGTTCTGATATTTCATAATGATGTATGTTGATACGGGTCTCTTCACCCTGGAACACGCTTAGATGCTTTCCGTCAGACATGGAGAGCCTTTAGTTCTGGGAATTTGATTTTATCCTCCCGTTTTCTGTCTTCGTACTTTATGAACTCTTGTTTGGATAGCTGCTCCCCTGGACATGGACTTTTACTTTCTTATCCTTTACTCCCCTGTCATCTATCTGTCGTTTGCTCTACTTTCTGGGAGATTTCCTCAGTTTTATCTTTCAATTCTTCTACTGAATTTTTAATTTCCAAGAGTTTTAATTTTTGTCCTTTTTGAGACTCTAATTGATGATGGTTTTCTAAAAGTTTCCTTTTCCTTGTGTAGTTTTTCTTCTGTCTTGCTTTTTTTTTTTTTTTTCTGTTTAATTTTGTCCTTAATCTTCTATTACAGGCTCTCCTCCCATATCTAGAAATCTTTGGCTGTCAGCTAATGAGTAGGGGACTTAAAAGCTGATAGAAGGTTCTGAGCAAGGAGGAGGGGCCTGAAAACTGGGCTGTTCACTGTAGGGTGACCTAGGTAGCCACTGTTGGGAACTACCAAGTAAGTTTCTTTAGTTCCTCTTCTTGGACTAGCTAGGTTGCCTAGTGAAAGGTTTCCTGAGACTTATGCAGGCTAGAGGGCTGGGTGGGCTCTCAGCATAAGACATTTATTTTATGATATATGGTTATTATGTTTTTCTATTTTCCATAGAATAGTCGTGCCCTCAGTTATGCTGGCTTACTCTCAGGACAGACTTTTACATTTCCAAATAATAAACCTCACCTTTGGCCGTGGTGGGGAAGGAGCAGTCATCCAGTGAGACGGAATGGGTGAAGGGTTCCAGCCGTCTGTTTTCGAAGCACCTTTTAACTTTTCCTCTTTCCTCTTTCTCCCCGTTCCAGAGGTACCAAATTGCCAATTCTTATTCCCCGTGGGGCTTTTCTGGTGTGAAAGGATATTTCTCAGTTTTCCCCACCGCCAGCTTAGGGTTGAGCTGCCTGGCGTCTGCTAAGTAAGTTTCCACTTGTCCCTCTGCTTTCTAACCTTCAAAATTGTGTTGCTCCTGTTACTCCCCTTGCTCGTTCTCTTCATCCTTGTGCTTTTGTTTATGTTGATTAAAAAGTATTTTCAGTGCAGTTTAGCGAGCTTGAGGGCAGGTGCGAAGGCAGATGGGATATTCATTCTGCCTTTTTACCTAGAAACCTACTCTTTTTCTGCCTTGCAAATTCCTTCTCATCTTTCTTTTTTTTTGAGACAGAGTCTCACTCCGTCACTAGGCGCCAGGCTGGAGTGCAGTGGCGCGACCTCGGCTCACTGCAACCTCCGCCTCCCGGGTTCAAGCAATTCTCCTGCCTCAGCCTCCCAAGCAGCTGGGACTACAGGCATGCACCACCACACTCAGCTAATTTTTTTTTTTGTATTTTTAGTAGAGACGGGGTTTCATCATGTTGGCCAGGATGGTCTCTATCTCTTGACCT